ATTTATTTGCTACAGTGTGCCCAGTGTTCCAGGGCCAGCATGGCATACAGTACCGAGGATTGAACTCAGGTCTGTGTGCTTGCCAGATAGGCACTTAGATTGCTGTGCTATCTCCCCAGCCCAGAAAACATTTTTTAAGAAAACCTTTCTTGAAATGATTGGCACAAAAATGTCTTTAAGTTTTATCCTTTTTATATTCTAATATATTTAATGAAGAAAAACTAGCACTGCTATTTGAGGATTCAATTTAAACTGATTAAAGGGAATTGATACTTAACCACTTTCATCACTAGGTTAGAAAATATTTTCATACTGAGACAGCGTGGGATTAAAAATATTCACATAGGCTCTATTCTAACTATATGAGGTACATGTTTCTTTCCATTTTTAGGAGATTAGTGCATTTTATAAATCATGGCACTGGCTTAGGATACAGTTTGAAAATACCAAGAGTTCTCCAAAATATGGTCTCCTTTCCCTAACATTTGGCAATTATCAGATTGATTTCCCTAATTTATAATGAATAGATGTCTAAAATTAAATCTAAATATTTAATATGAACAACTGTGCTAATATTTTATACAATCCTTTTAAATGCATAAAACTTTCCATATCCAGGTAAATACAAAACAAGTTCCTTGTCACTTTCAGGAGAAGAGAGCAAATGGTGCTTTGTAGCCGTCTGTATCACTATTGTAGGTAAGCAGATCTATTCCTGTGCAAAAACAACTTATGACTAATTGCTTATTAGTTATCTACAAAGAGAAAATTACTATGTGCACATACAACTATTTTTATTCACACATGTGTGAATTTTGTTCATTTAAATTCCCACATAGTACATGTTGTAGACCTAAAATGACAAGTACAGAGGTACACATTTTAACATATGCACTGTTGATCCTGAAAGCCACAGTTCCTCTAATTGGTAAAGTTCATTTTACCTGGCGATGCAGCCTGATAAATGACCTTCTCGCCTTCTCGCTCTGGCACTGCTGTGTGGCAGACCGCCATCATGGTAAGAAATTCACAGATGATAGGCGCAGTTGGCTGGGAGAAACAAATGCATAACTCAGAAAGTAGCCTTTTGACACTAGTGACTGTAAGACGACTTTACATCTGTCTATCAGGAGCACAACTACCAAACATGGTGGGGGGGGGCATGAGATTACCATCAGCGAGGAAGCTGATGTACACTTCTCCACCTCCATTCATCTTGTACCACTTCATTTGCTTTCTAAACACATACAAGGCAAAACAGGAATAGTATGGTGGAAAAAAAAGATGAATTCTGTCCTTGGAGCATGTGAGAGAAATTCTAAAATGTTAGGGCTGGGAAATGGCTCAGTGGAATAAGTGCGTGCCTGGTAAGTGAAAGGTTCCAAGTTCAATCCCTGGCGGTCCCTCTAATTCCCCCCCCCAAAAAAATGTTCACTTATCCAGTTGTAAATCCTTATCAGGCTTAAATTTGGGGCATTTAATCTTACTGTGGGTTAGGGTGATGAGGACAAGGGATTTCTCTGTCATGTCTTGCCTTCCCTTTTTCCAAATACAATAATATTTACCTAATTCAAGTCTCACTAAACAAAAAAACAAAAAAACTGAGTTACTCCTGTGCTCCTGCGTGGACTCTTGTGGCCTACATAGACTGCAAAGGAGACCGACCCTTTAGCAGGGAGCTAAAGCATTTATAGGAGACAGAGAGATAGATAAAGTTAAACTTCTTCCTGTCTACATTTTGAGGAAGGGACACAATATTCAAATTTATAAAGGAAAAACATATCTTTATTTTTTGGGTAAAAAGTAAAAATCAAGTATCAAAGAGAAGGGCTGAGAAGATAGGTTAGTGGACTAAAGCACCTGCTTAGGCAGACACAAGGGCTAGGGCTTGATCCAGAGCCTGCTGTGCTCGCCCTGCCCCCAGGGAGCCCAGAGACAGCAATTGAGACTGGGTGTGGTGGTGCACACCTGTAATCCTAGTGCTTGGGAGGTTGAAAACAGGAGGATCACTAGAGTCTGATCTGTGTAGTGAGACCCTGTAGACACTGTACTAAATACATTAAAAAAAATCTGAGAGAAGAGATTAGAAAGGTTAATCATAACATTAGTTGAAAAAATTGTTAGTTTAGAAAAAGCAGAGAAAACAGACATGGTCTGGTGTGTGACACTCAGACTTGTAGAGGGATGGAACACAAATACATACACAGGGATTACTGACAGTGTGCCAAAAACTCTAAAGAGACTGTACAAATACAAAAGGAAACTGGGGATAGCCAGTGATTATTCTCAAGAAAGGAGACCAGGGCTGAGCCTCAGGAAGAAGTAAGAGAAATGATTTCCACCAGTCAGCATGGCACACATCTGAAAAGGTCCCAAGGAGAAGAAGGAAGTGTGAGAACACTGAAGGGCACTGTGGTCTCAGGTGAAACAAAGAAAAAGTAGCTCAAGGGGAGCCTGGTGCCTCTGGCTTGGGCCATGTGGGTGGGCCATATGACAAAACTCTGAATCAAGGGAGGAGCCAAAGAGTGGATGTGAATAGGAAAGGGACAGGACTTGATTTGCTTTGCAACATTCCACCCATCTGGTACAACAGTAATTGGAGGGAATGAAATGGAAACAAGGAGTCTGGTTAGGGCAGTAACCTGGACTGGAGAGAACTAAAGCAGAGCCTGGTGTATATTCTAGAAGTTAGCACTGATAAGGGCTTGGAGTCTCATAAGAGACCTCACAGAGGTTGAGAGGAAGGTATAAAAGGCGAAGCCTTGAGCTCATAGAAAGTGACAAGATTAGTGATGGAGAAACTTACTGAAGCTGAGTAAACAATAGTGCAGAAGTTGCTAGCTCTAGGCTTTGTAGGGACTGATGTAAGTATTTTGCCTAAGACTCTCTGGGGGGGAGGATCACATGCAAAGGCACCCATGTGAACAGAGGGTTCTACCCAAAGGCAGATGTGTTAAATCCACCTGGGCTGGAAGTGTTTTTGGACAGTGATCCTAAGTTCAACTTTGGACATATTGATCCTGAGCAATTGTGAGAAAACACTTAAATTCCAAGAGACCTTGTAATTTAATCTGCTGGAATCAGAATAATTCAGTAGCTTCATAAGTCAGTAGCTTCATAACTGTAAATTCACAGAATGGAAGATGTCAAGTTCCTACTGTGATTTGGCAGTGGCTTTATGATAATGAGCAAGTAACTTTACTTTCATAATATTTTCAATGTTTTAGGACTCTAAGGATTAATAAAATTACTATAAAAAATTAATTCTTAGCTGGACATGGTGGCACATGCCTATAACCCCAGCACTTGGGAGGCTAAGGCAGGAGGATCATTGCGAGTCTGAGACCAGCCTAGGCTACAAAGGGAGCTCAATGCCCCCTGAACTATACAGTGAGATCTGGTCTCAAAAAGATAACAAATAAGTAAATAATTATTTAATAAACAAGGAAATGTTTTTTAAAATTAAGAGCAAGTTGCTGCATATAGAGTTCTACAATTACATAGAATTAAACATTTTAAAATGATAGAATGTAAATGATAGCATCAAAACTAAATTTCCAGCTATTATGAATTCATGTTGGTTATGTATAAGTGATTTAGAAGAGATTTTGAAAATTATTAAAGTGATCATGAAGTTAATATATATATATATATATATATATATATATATACACACACACACACACACAGAGACAAAAACAGAAGATAGTTGAGAGATACTTGATTTTCACTCATTGAAGAGACTGATTTAAATTAGTGTCACTTACATGATTATTTTGGAGATTTTCCAGCAATGATGGGTCACTAAATGTTTTTTCATCTCCAAACTGTGAGTTTTGCCTAAAAGAAGAAAAAATAAAGCAACCTGGCTCATTTATAAAGTTCATTGATTTATTTGTCACTCACTTTTAAAGCAAATCATTATGCCTGTAAACTTTGAATGAATTACATATATATGGCCTGAATTTCTAAATAAGATGCCACAGTTTTCAGGATTTTATCATAAAACATATTGACACATTCTAAAATGTGACAGGCATTTGCAATGTAATGAAATATTTTAATTTTACAGTTCATTTTCTTGGAGCTAAATTACATAGTCACAGAATATTTAAAAATTAAGTTTTTAAGGTTCTGGGCAAAGGGGCCGGGGAGATGGCTCAGTAGAATAAGTGCTTCCCTGGCAAGCACAAGGGCCTGGGTTCAATCCCCGGTTCCCGCAAAAAAAAAAAAAAAAAGAAGCAACATTAAAAAAAAGGTTCTGGGCATGAATGAGGTTATAAAATATTATTTTACTTTAGCTACATAACAAATGTTTACTGTATTTGTACTGCTATCACTTCATCATTTTCATGTGAAATTATATAAAAATAACTATATGCCAACATCTATCAGTAACAAATACCTGAGCCAGTAGTTATAAACATATCACAAGTGTTCATCATAAAAGTGGATGGAATGTTTGTCTATGGCTATCTTTGGATCAGCAAGTGTATTATCTGCTCCATATTAAACAAACAGAGTCAGTTTATAACCAACATTAACTAACAGCCATACAATTTAAGAAAGTCCAAAGAATAACAAAAAACATTTAAGTCAGAACATCAAAACAAGAGCGTATACTGTGAAAGACAGAGTAAAAATGCATATAAATTTGTGCACAGGAGAAGAACGTTTCAGAATCTACCACAGAAAGAACAATGTATCCAGCAAGAAAGAATTACAACCCAGGAAGATTTTAACTACAACTCGTACAGGTTAGAAAAGCATTAAAAATGCCCATGTACCAAGTATCAAGACTTCCACATATTAAAGACAGCAGTTTGAAAAGGATAAATCAGTGTAGGAGACAGAAGTAAAAATGATAGAATACACATAATGTCTTCAATGGAACACCCTCCCAGTTTAGAATAAAATACACCTTGATTTACATGTAGTACTTCAGTGTAGTATTTATCAGAATTATAATGCATCTTTATTAGTATGTCATAGTTTAGAATTCTCAGCATATCTCTGGAAGGCAAAATTAACAATTACTAATATCATTGTTATGATTATTTTAGTTTCAAAGATGGGAGGAAACAGCCCAAGAACTTTTAAACAATGTATCAACGGGCAGATAGAAAAACTGGCATATATTTTCCTTACAAATCCTGTGATTTACTAAAAAGTTTATGACTTGGGGATTTACAAAGTTTTCTTCTTATTAAAATGTAATCATTAAGCTGAATGTGATGGCAAACTCCTGTAAACCCAGCACTCTGGGAGGCCCAGGCAAAGGAGGAAAAGTTCACACCCAGCCTTAGTGACTTAGAGAGACTCTTTCTCAAAATTAAAAAAAAAAAAATTAAAAAGGTAGGGACATAGCTCAGTGTGATGGCCCTGGGTTCAGTCCCATTACTGTCCAATTTTGTAATACTCTCCAATGTCGTTAAGGAAACTGAACTATCAAAGAATATCCACAATCACATCTTGCGTAAGGAAGTCTTAATTTCTTTCCAAAGAATTCCAGACTAAAAGCCTTCATCAATCTGAAGTGTCTTATTAATCTCATTAGTATTTTTTTCATTCCATAAATCCCAGTTGTCATAATTGATACAACTTTCAAGTGCATTTATAGTTGGATAATTTAAGATGTGCAATTGAAATAGTTACACAGACACAGCCCATTCATTTCTCAGCAAAGGTTTCACCATAGACAATATTTAAATATTAACTCTTCCCCCAGAAAGTGGCCTCCTTCCCCAAATTGTGAAAAACTGAGACCAATTCCTTCTTTAGTCAGGCACAGAGTTATTATCACTGTGCTCCAAAATCTTGCAAACCACTCACTTTTAGTAAAAATAAAATTAGGAAGCTCATATCACTGAAAGATGAGAACTATTCTAAAAAGTAACAAAAATAGTATATACTATCAGCTGATAAAACTGTAAGTATTTGCAAACAATTGGCAAATAAAAATGAAGCCAACATCAACATTTTGTTGGATCTTTCTTTTCTGAGACAATTTCAAGTGGCACTTTGCTTTTAAGGAGACAAAGATATGGTGTTTTGTAACAACCAGTAAGGCAGGGAACGTTAACAGTGCAGCAAAGGGTGAGAGTGAACACAGGGCTCACGAAGTCAATAGCTTGCAGCTCCTCGCAGCCAGAACTAAAAGCCACAGTGCATTATAAAAAATTATTTCCTGTTTATAGAAAAATGGAGAATTCCTATAGCAATAAAAATTAAGAGAAAATTTAGAAAGTGTATGTTCTAATCGATAATATCTATGTTCATACAGGACAGCACAGACGATCAATTTTACAAAGTTCAGAATTTGTGTAATATGAGATCAGTAAAAAGAAAAGCAAGGGGCAAGGGAGATAGCGCTGTGGTCTAAGCACCTGCCTGGCAAGCACAAGGACCCAAGTTCAATCCCTGGTGCCGCATGATGTGCCCGTCCCCTGCCGAACAGGCCATGGTAACTGAACATGGTGGCACGTGCCTGTAATCCCAGCACTGGGGTGCCTGAGACAGGAGGATCACTAGGAGTCTGAACTGTGTAGTGAGACCATGTACCAAATAAATAAATAAATAAAATTTTTTAAAAAGAAAAGGAAATGTTGGGGATCATACCTTTCACTTCAAATAAAAATCGACTCCAGATAGAACTATTATTTTACAAAAATATTCTACATATGGAAAAAAACCCCAGGAATGAGAAAAATATAGGTTTTATACATAGAGAAAACAGTATTGATAACTTCAACTTCGTACCAGCAAATACTCTGCATAACAGAAACTACTGCAGGCAAAGAGAAAGTCGAAGTTAATAGGCTGGGGAAAAATTCCCACTTATTAAAAAAAAAGATCAACAATACATTAGACTCACAGCAAACGAGAAACATACAAGTCATAGATTACACATAAATGGCTTTACACATCCATTCCATTAGTACTCATAATCCAACAAATGAAATTTATCAGTTCAGTAAGAATAAAGACCTCTCCGTGCTACTGTAACCACAGAAAGGCAGTGAAGTGTGTGCTGCGAGGACAAATTTCTTTTTTGCACCATGTTTTTAACAGCAAAAGGTGAGAAATAACCAAAAGTCTGGCCTTAAAATTCTATGGCATGTAAGAAAGAGCCAATGACACATACCAAATGCAGAGCTGATACAAAACGGTGTGGATGCTTCACTTTGTTTCAAAATGTGAGAGAAAAATTAAATCTGTAGCCTAGGTCTGGAGGGTGACACCTGCAACTGGCCACCCTCAGTGGCGTTAGACAGAGAAATGGAGGGTGTAAGGCAGAAGGAGGAGAAACTTTTCCCCCATTTTATACCATTGGAATTTGTAACATGTTAGTGTGCTGTGGACTTAAAAATAAATTTAAAAATTAAAATAAAATGATGTCAGTTATCTGAAACATGCACACAGCCTACACATCACCAAATGTATGCCCTATACACTTACACAAGGAATACATACACAAAGACAGAGGCAGCGTGACTGTAAACAACTTTTATATTTTATAAAATTAACCACTGTCATGGGCACAAGGGGCATGTGCTTGCGAACTTTAACAAGCAAGCAGAAAGACAAGCTCCAAACTCTTTAACATCCCAAATGTTCTCAGTAGAGAAAACTGTTTGGCCAAGCCATACGTGGGCCACCTGTCTCTTTAGGAGCGAGGTGCCTGCACTCTACATTATAAAGATAAAAATATGCAACTTTTGCCCATGTCGGAATACAATCACATGCAAACCCTCGGAATTCTCTAGCCACATTCAAAGCTCACACTACTTGAATTTGCATATGTACCTTGTTTTAAATATGCTTGGGGGGAGCTGGTGAGATAGCTCAAGCAGCCTAAAGCGCCTGCTTAGGCAAGCTTGGGCAGACGCACGGGACCATGGTTTGTTCCCTGGCACCATGTTTTGTCAGCCCTACCCTCAGGGTGGGCTGAGCCAGCAAAAAAAAAAAAGCCAGCAAAAAAAAAAAAAAAAAAGAAAAAGAAAAAGATATACATATATACTTAGTTATAACACATTGGAGAATAAGGGGCCAAGGAGGCCATTTCTTACTGGGAGGCAATGAGACACACACACGTAAGTATGACCTGACAGAGGCAAAGGGTCTAAGAATCGGTTTTCTTGGCTTAACGTAATAATTGAGCGTGGGCATGAGAGACAGCTTGGTCTAAGCACTCTTCCACATCTATGGGGCACTGGCATCTGCTTTTGCAGTTAGCCTCTGACAGGGAGGCTGACCCAGCCCTGGCCAGGTGTGCACAGACTACTATGAGAGATCTCAGTTTTTTCTCCAAATTCATCATTAAGTCCAGAGTCAATGACTTTTTCTAGGAAGTTGTGCTTTGGGGCCACTGTGTCACAAGCAGGCTGGAAAGGGTTGCAGTGTGGTGTGCCTCCTAGACATCCCTCTGGGAAGAAGCTGAGGCTGATCAGTCTCTCCTGACCCCTTTCTCCCCCCAGTGTTTGCTGCATCTGGGGTGGTTCCCCTCATGCCCACAGCCTGCTCCTGGGATCACATATGTTCCTATCACTGACCTCTAGTGGCGATTTTCCTTCTTGTGTCCCCAGAATTATATGCTGGACAGTGAGTGGCTCCCTGAATGTGATGAGGGTGACTCTGACCTTTGGCCAGCTTTTGGGTGAGTACCTGCAGAACTCAGAGCTAGGAAACTTCATATGGATTGCTACGAGTGCAAGTGTGAGACTTGGATCCACAGAGCCAAAGCCCTGTTTCTTCCTCCTAGGTAGGAGGTGTGTGTGTGTGTGTGTGTGTGTGTGTGTGTGTGTGTGGTGGTCGGCAGGGGATAGAACCCAGGGCCTCAG